CCTTAAGGTAGTGCAGGATTTATATCATCAACCGTATTATAGGTGAAGGGATTGGAGCGGAGCACAAGTGTCTTGTCTTGTTACCAGGTTGCTCCTCGGATGTTCTTGCGATTCCGGTACCGCCACTCCGGTCCTGCATGGTTGCAGTACTTAGAGTTCCTTCCTGGGTTTTTAAGGTGCAAAGTATCCAAGACCCTTTGTGGGCTTACTTGGGGCATCAGGGCACTTAGCAAGTTGGTGGCAATAGAGTTGTGAGCAGGATAACTTCAATCAGGGTACGTCTAACTCAACTGAAACATCTGCTTGCGAAGTCACCTTATTCCTTTGCTCCATCGTGCAGTCTTGGTTTGCTGGTTGCAGCATTCCACACTCATACGGCTCTGCTGGCTGCTTGCAAGGGCACCCAGCCCTCGTTTCCCTGAGGCCCCCACCCCCTGCCCCACAAGTTTGCGGCCCTCTGGAGCATTCCGAAGCCAATCCCACAAGCCTTGCACCCAAGAACCTTCTAACACCCCCAACTCTAAATAACCCCAGGACCTAACCTGACACGCAAAAGGTTGCAAACCATGGAAGATCCTCAGCCCAACCACCGCTTAGGGTTTAGGGGCTTGGGGTTTAGGGTTTAGGGTATAGGGTTCAGGGTTTAGGGTTTAGGGATAAGATGGCAGGCCCGGTTTATCCGACTGACACACTTCAAGTTTCACAACTACGTTGCCCGGTGGCAGAGTTACGATAACGGCTGTTGCAAGGGCTACTATGGGAGTTACTCAAGGGGTTGCCATGAGGGATACGCTTAGGGTTACTATAAGATTATAACGGTTACTACAAGATCGTAATATAACGGTTACCAATAAGGCTTTGAGGGTTGCTATACGGATTCCTTGAAGTTCAGGAGGCAAGCGGTTGCTGTTTTGTAGAGTTCATTAGGCTTGGATTTTGGAGGCTCAGGTTAGGAGTTTTGGGGTTTGAGGGTTTAGCGTTTAGCGCAAAGCACTTGTGTGCAGCGATGCTCGTGGGTTGGGTTTGATCATGTTTGAGCTAAAACCACCACCTCTCTAGACTCTAGTCCTGCACCTGGCAGCCGCGACACAAAGCCTTTAACCCCAAACCCCAAGCCCTACACCCCAAGCCCTGTAAGCGCCAGACACTCGGCCATAAACGCTAACAGCGCCAAGCTACACCGGAGACCTGCAACCTCCAGCCCACCATTCTTGAATTTCTCGGTCCGAGATCCCGAGCTAAATTCGTAAGCATCTGTCATCCCTGTCAGGGGTTCTCTCTACTCGTCATGCTACTGGTAATCTTCATTCATATTCATCATATTCATCATCATCATCATCATCATCATTGCCAGCATTGATCATCATGGTCATCCACCATTAAGCCTCGTCGTCAACCGCCCTATAATCATTGTCTGGGCCATGGGCATGTCTTGTATGACTTATCCCTTCCCCGTAATATTAAACGCCCCCGTCCCCCCCTCCCCCTAATATGAAATTTGATTCCCGGGATTCTAATTTAATATTTGGGGGGGGGGGGGGTTCGGGGCATCCACGCCTGAGTCGGATTGAGAGCAATAATGAGCCAGACACAAAGACCGCCCATCACACAGCCGTTCCGGCTGTAGAGCCGACAGTCCCGCCCTAAACCCTAAAGCCTTAAACCCTAAAGCGCCAAAGCCCTAAAGCTCTATAGACTCTAAAAATCCCTGAACCCTAAACCCTTAAACCCTGAAGCTCTGGTCTCTTCGGTTTGATTAGTACAGCTGTAATCTTTGGCTCTATCAAAACTCATACAATCCCCCCCCCCCCCCCCAATGCTTTTGAATTAAATTTCAGTTGTGGGCCATATCCTGGCGGCGAGTTAATTGTTTATTAATGGTGGGACGGGATTATACCTGCGAATTGTAATCATTTCTCCTGCTTTCGTGGTGTTCTCGTCAATATCATGCCTATGAGAATCTGGACGCCCAAGCTATTGCTGCTCACCATGTTATAGTCAGCTTTCTGAGGCTGCACGCTTCTCAAAATAATGCAACCACTTCCTTGTCAGGTTAGGTTTTGAGGAGTCCAGGCGTCGGCCATAGATTTCAAGATGTCCATCGTTGGCAGGTGCAAGGTCCAACGACCTTACCCCCTAATCCCGCCAAATTCCCAATTCCAAGCCCAAAACCCCAAATCCTGGAACCCTACTCCCTAGAACCTAAACCGGCCTAAACCTCATCACGACGGAAGGCGTGCATGCGCTCTGCGGTGATCATTTGCAACTCGGTGGCTGCTAACGAGATGAACCTCGTAGAGTCAAGGCCCGGGGTTTATGGTTCAGGGTTTTATCGGCTTAGCAAGCAGGGGTCCTTCCTTGAAGGTTTCATTTAAGAGATCTGGATGGCGCTCCGGGTTCCTGGAAGTCTCCGTCAAGGGTGTTCTTGGAGGGTTACGAGGGGCTTTTTCGAGCAGGTAAGGTCAGAGGGATGAGGGGGAACTAATCTCTGAGTCAGTGAAAAGACAGATCGATTGAGGTGTACGCTCCTATCAGAAGACTAGCATATCTGGCCCCAGTCTTTTCTCCTTTCAAGGACCACATGTAGCCTTGCTGCTAAGTCACAACCCAGCAGCAATCAGGAACCTGATGAAGAGACCCTGGCATTTTAGTCCCAAAGTATTAGGATTCTAAGATAGAGTACCCTAATACAGACCTAGGTTTTGTTAATCAGGTTCCTTTATTAGCTGAAGAGGTTGACCCTTCGACAGCAACCTTCAGCCGGCTTAGATATTTTTTTTGTTGCTTCGGGTGTAGGGCTTGTGACTGTTGTTTTTGGATGGTTTCACCTGGGTTTTGCGGGTCTAGGGTTTCACGATTTAGGCAGCGTTTTCGGTGTCGAAAGATCGCAGCACATATGAGGATCTCACATTTCAGGGTCTCTAGAATCGACCGTATACAGGGTGATGCGGCTGTAGCTAGGGTTTAGGGTTTGCTGTGCTGTTTTCGAGTTGAAGTGCTGGTCGGGCTTGATCGATGTTGCGTTCCAGTCGTGGGAATACTCTTGTATATATCAACTCAGAATGGGTTAGGGAGACTGAATACAGAGATCGATTAGTTCATGAACACCACAAAGCAGAAGAAAAGACTCGAACGAACACTATAGGGGCCTTATTGATTAGACTAGGTTTTGAGGTATTTTACAGTACAACTAAAGTAAGGATTCCCCAAAATAGTATCGGTATTTAGTTGGGCCCCTATGTTACCATCCTGCTGCCAGCTCCTGCCCTTCAACCTTGCGGGTGGAGCAGTGGCCGGACACAGATCCAGAGAGCGGCTTGCCTTCTTGTGTAGATTGCCATGGGCCCTAAACCCGAAGCCATAAATCTGAAGCCATAAGAATGTCAGTGGTTCGGGCTTGAGGGTCAGAGGGCCGAGAGCCTGTACAGTAATTAGACTGGGGCTTTTGGGGGAAGTCTATGCTATAGCTGTGACAGGGAGCATGGCTGACTAAAGGCAGGGCATCCTAGGTGAGCCGTACGGGGAGATGACTTGTTAAGAGCCAGCATTCCACTGATTGCAGCAATCATACCAAGAGTATTGGCGGTATCAGCAAGACCCAGCCTGAGAGCAACTATATGGGTAGTTGTCAAGATTAAGGCCCCTTTTCGGGTACCCTAAATAATAGGTGCCGTACTATGATAGGGACCCAAAAAGGACCATAGTTTTTGACAACCACCCATGTCAGCTTCGACGTAGAAGGACAGAAGGAGCACCAGGCTAGAAAACCCCAGGAACGGTTGATGATATAAATCCTGCATTACCTTAAAGACCCTAAACTATGGGAATTATGGTATATTCCTGATTATGGGTAATGCAGGATTTATATCACCAACCGGAAGCAGCCGTAATGTGAACATGCAGACTAGAAGCCGAAAGACAGAGGATGCTAGACTGCTAGTCGGAGCAACACGGACAATAGCGATGATCTCTGAAGCCCTAAACCGAAAATAAAGCCTGATGTTTAGGGTTTAGGGTTTATGATCAGAAGGACAGAAGTACCACCCTAACTCCCTCACGGTCGACGAGCCCCGCTTGCCGCCAAACCCTCAACAAGCCACACATCCCAGAAGCGAGCCCTGCACCTTAGACCCACACCCCCGAACCCCAAGAGTAGATCCTGAGCTCTGAACGCGAAAGGTTTGAGAGTAGAGTAGTCATACTACAACTACAACTATTACAGAACAAAAGCCAACACGAAACCTAATCAGTTGCAAGTATTATCTACATTACCTCTGCTTTGAGGATCACACAGGCTTCGCAAGTAGGGCTGTCGCTTGGATACCCCCAGACGGGGTACCTGTACCTGTTCCGCATATTCAACGGCCCCCAAAGAGCGGTCTTTTGTTAATCAGGGGTTTGCATTGCAGAATTCCGTAGAGCCCTAAACCGGAAATACTGACCGAACCCTCAAGATCCCCCCAGAGAGCCCAATACCCCTTAATTAAGGAATATGGCTTAACTTATATAGGGCTTCATATTATGATTTAAGCTATATTCCTTAATTTAGGGGGTATTGGGCTCTCTGGGCCTAACAGGAACCTCTTCAGGGTTCGAACGCTGTGGAGGAGCCCCGAACCCTTGAGCCTTATAGCCTGTATCCTGAGCCTTAAACCCTAAACCCTTAAGTGTACAGCGGCCCGGCTAGAAACCCTGAACCCCTCAACCGTAAACCCGAAACCCTACACCCTGCAAGTTTCCACTTGGCTGCTCTCGCGTGAGAATGCATGCGTTCGCAGCTACGAAGAGTCAAGAGCTTTACAGCAGGGGTGAAAACGTGTGCGCCATAGTCGTGCTCTGCTTAGCCGAGTCCGAAGGGTGCATTCCTGCAGAAGCCATCGACCTTCAGCCCGAGCCTTTCACCGTGCAAGCGCCACACGCTTGCATGGTAGCGGAGCCCTACGGGGCTCAGAGAGCAGCGATCCAGGGACCGAGCCGCTACATGATCTTCCTGTAGCGGAATGACAAGCAGTGGCGATCAGGCCGGAGGCCTGACGAAAGGCCGGGATGGCGTCCCATCGTGGGACGGAACAACCAGCAGCTTCCAAGCCTACCTGGAAGCCGCCGAGCTGTACGAACAAGGCACACCCTATCACAAGCGCTACCTGTGCGGACCGAAACTCCAAGCAGAGCTTTCGGGGACCGCGAAGCGACATGTAGTGGGCCAGAGACCGGACTGGCTCTCTCATGGACAAGGAGTGCAAACGCTCCTCAATCATCTGAGGAGCTGCCTGGGGAAACCGCAACTGGCCGAGTTGACCGAGTTGCTGGGCCAGTACTTCAAGGGATCACGCCGTCATCATGGAGAGAGCATGGGAGGATACATTTCTCGGAAATGTGAGCTGTACATCAGAGCTCAGCAAGCTATGAGCCGAGTACAGCCCCTGCACACTCCGACGGCGGTGACCTCAGGGTGGACACCACGCTACCACGACGGCTACTACAGCGGAGGCTACAGCCGCCGGAGCAGCGTGGACTCGAGAGCAAGTGAGGCCGAGTCCGAGGCGGAGACCCAGGGATCTCAGGCCGCAGCACCCGTGGCCGAGACGAACCACGAGCCGATCGAGGGGAACCAGACCCCATGGGATTGGAACTACGAGTGGTGGTCGTCGCAGAACTGGGGATGGTCGGGCTGGTCAGGATCCTCATCAGGAACTTGGGCCTGGAGCAGGCCCGAAGAGACAACGACGTCGCCTCCACGAGTTCTACCAGAGTTGGTTCCAGAGTTCGTCCAAGCATGGTTTCTTCTCCAAGACTCCGGCCTGGAGCAGGGAGAGAAGAATCTTGTCTTGACGGCCATCAAAGGAGAAATGAACCTCCAGAAGATGGCCCAGGAGCTGCGGACCCAGTTTCCCGAGGCCGAGATCAAACGGCGGGATGGCCAGCATTCTCGCCGCTACCACCAGGGCCTCATGGGCGACCTCGCGGAAGAGAACTACCCGGCGGAGGAGGAGACGACCGAGCACGACACAGCCTTCGCGGCCGAGGAGGAGTTGACCGAGGAGGGCTACGCGTTGTGGAACAGTGCAACTGAGGAGGCTGAGCAGGCCTTCGCAGCGCTACAGGGAGCCCGTCGGACCTTGCGAGAAGCGCGGGATCGGCAGAAGCAGGTCCGCCTGAACAGGCGCTACTTCCGAGGCCCAGACAGCGGACCCAGGAGCAGCTCCGGGGGCCGCGACGACTCAAAGATCACCTGCTTCAGCTGTGGGCAAACAGGGCATAGGACAGCCAACTGTCCCAAGCCCAAGCCTCCACAGAAACCGCCAGAGAACATGGCACCATTTGTGTGCTTTGCTGGTGATGTGGAGTCTGAGCCCACATCGACCGAGGCGCCAGGGCCACATGGGAGAAATGAAGGCCTCGAGCAGAGTTTGTCGGCCCAGGCTCTGTCCGCGAGCACCATCACCACCCAAGAGGCAGTACTGCAGGGCAAGTGTGTGATTGACAGTGGAGCAACCAAAAGCCTGGGCTCCATCCTGGCGTTGGAGCAAGTCGTGCGGAACATGGACGGCGCCGTCAACCATGTGGACACGGCCGATCGTCCTCGGTTCGGCTTTGGGAACAGCTCGGAGGACACATGTGTGTCCACTGTGCATCTCAATGTGAGCGCCAGTGGAAAGCCAGGCACCCTGAAGGTGCACGCCCTCGATGCTGGCGAGGGTCCAATTTTGTTTTCGATAGACGCACTGCGATCGTTAGGAGCCATTGTGGACTTCAGTGCGGACCTCATGGTCTTGAGGAATCTCGACCGCTACAAGCTCATTCGCCTGGAGAGGTCAAGCACAGGTCATCAACTATTCCCCCTCACGGAGGACTTCTACCAGAATGCAGAGGCGTCAGTGATGGAAGTGCCAAGTTTGGAAAGCTATGTACAGAAAGGTAGGAACTGTGACACCACGGAGTAGGGACAACACCTTCCCTTTTTGCATCCTGACGGAAAAGGGAAGGACCAGAGTCACACGGGATCAGGAACGGGGTACCACACAGCTGAATCGAGTTGTGAGCGTAGTTGTTTAAATTCACATGTGCCACCACTCCAACATGTACAGTCCGATTGTGAGTGAGAGTCATGGTGAAGATGTTTTTGATACTCTAGGTGAGTCCAGTGGGCCAAACAGTTGTCATGTTGCCGAAGCAAGGGCGGACGTGAAGACCGCCACACCACGCTCAGGCCGGAACCCTCGTAGAGTTCACTTCTCTCCGAAAGCGCCGTGTGCCATCCATGACGGACTTGTCGAGGGAGGAACTTCGTTTGGCGCTGGCCCAGTTGGGGGAACTTCCCCCCAGTGCGTGGACCAAGGTCGAGTTACGACTTCGCTTGGAGCAGGTCACCGGCGAGGACATGACGCAGAAGATCAAGAAGAAGCCTGCCGAGCGCTCGCCGTACGAGATCTTGGTGGCCCAGCTCAATGCGTCCAGCAAGAACAAGCGGAACCTCATCCGTTTTTGCGAAAACGACCTCCAGATGAACAACCTGGACCAGTGGAGCATTCCGCGCATTCAGCACGAAGCCATGAAGAAGATCTACCAACATGCCGAAGCACACCCCTCAGATCTGGTGGGATTTGGGCGCCACGCGTCCCTGACTTATCGCCAGATTCGGGAGGAGCAAGAGGGCTACTGCCAGTGGCTGGTGAACGAGTCGAAGAAGGGTCCAGACGAGTGCGATCCTCGACTGATGCGTTTGGCCGCTTGGTTGAAGCAGGAGGGCGACATCGAGATGAAGACCACGACCTCCAAGATCGACGTGCTGAAGTTGAAGGCGGCAACGAAGGCTGCCTCCAAGGGAGCCGCCAGCTCCTCCTCCGAAGGGGACCACAGTCTGATACGGGACATGTACGAGACGATCGAGAGTCTGAAGGAGGAAGTGGCCGCCCTCAAAGGAGAGCCGACACGCAAGGCCAGCACCCAGCGGGCCACCAAGAGCGAGGAGGGCTACCCTACGACAACGAAGGCGAGCTCGCCATGAGTGAGATGGAGAGCGGAAGTGAGGATCACAGAAACCCCAGTAGCGACGCAGTTAGTGCATCACAGAAGCTTAGTCGCCAGTTGTCCCGCAGTCAAGCCCAGAGCTTAGAGAATCAGTCATGGTCTGTGGCCTCAGAAATCTTCCAGGGACTTGTACAAGAGAGCCGGCCGTTTCTCATGGAAGTAGCATGCCAACCGAACAGTCGGCTGGCGGCCAAGATCCAAGAGATGGCCAAGGATGATCGAGCAGCAGTCCGGTGCTCGCAATGGAACGCGTGTAATCTAGAGACCAATGATGGGTTCGTCTCATTTTGCAGCGTTTAGATCTTGAAAAGCCTACCCATTGTTGGTTGGCCCCTCCAGGGGGAGCCTACTCTCCGATGCAAAACGCGAACCAGAGAACTGAGGAACAAAAACGGGCTTTGCAAATCAAGCGAGATCAGGCTATGCGAGTCTACATTGGAACATGCATCATTTTCCATGCTTGCGTACAGAAGGGGGTGCATGTAACCATAGAGATGGCAGAGCGATGCCAAGCGTGGAGGTTACCGATCTTCGCGCGACTAAGGGCTAAGTACTCCTTGCATGAGGCCGTGGCCAAAGGTTGCCGAGTGGGACTGCGAGCCGGACCCCAGGAGCCTTTGTTACAGCAGGGCTGGCGTCTCTTGACGACGCACCAACGCCTAGCCTCAGAGATGCAGTTGCCTTGTAGATGTTCCAAAAGCTACGTGCATGCTAGGAGCGAGGGTTGTGCCACGCGAATTTGTGAAGGGTACACTGCTGAGTTTGTAAGGCGAGCCGCTCAAGCCATCATGCAAGAGCATACTATGCAGTCGTTGTGGGCAGAGTGTCATACCGGGAGCGCACAAAGTACGTTGCCCAGCAGCTTTGGAGAAGGTGAGATGTGTACGTGTTCCGAAGTAAGTCTCCCTTTGAAGCCTCGCAGTTGTCACGTATGTTGCTCCAAGGACCAAATCCCAGGGGAAGGCTTGGGGGGTTCGGTTGGGGAAGTTTCAGAGGGCTTAGGCGAGGGTCATTGGAAGGCTTCTGGGAGTGAGGTAGAGGAGCTTTGTTGGGTTTGCGAGAAGAGGTGATCCAGGAACTCGAACATGAGGCCTCAAAACTGCAACAGAACCAGAACTACCACCATAGTCAAGTAGAAAAGTTGCTGGAGAAACTGCCCTGGAAGAGCAGTCCTGTGCGGCCTATGATGAAGACTGGCAACGAAGGCTACTTGATCCTTGGGATGTACGCTTACGGTAATCACTATGGTGTCACCAACTACACCCGTAGGCTTCCCCAGACCACTACGTATCTTCTCCAATACATGCAACACTGGGCTAAAGAAAACTTTGTGTGCACGTCGTTGGTGTTGAACAAGAACGGTCTGTCACCCTTACATCGTGACCTGCATAACCAAAACGGAAACCTCAATCGGATCGTGGGCTTTGGAGCCTACCAGGGCGGAAAACTGTGGGTCCAAGAGGACCCCAACAGAGCTAGGCATGAAACAACGGCCAAGGTACTTCCGAACGGCGAGCGAGCGACCGGGAGTACGCACGATGTGCGGCACAGGATGCTCAAGTTCAACCCGAAGGCCTGGCACGGGCCAGAATCATGGCAGGGTGATCGGACCACACTTACCGCGTTTGTTGCCAGGGGGTCTTCGGAGTTGAGCGGTGAAGATTGCGAGTGGCTGCAAGGGTTAGGTTTTCGGATTCCGGGAAGTGATTTCGGAAAGGAGAGTGCTTTAGCCTTGGAACGGATTGCTCAGGGCAGTGCGAGTTCTAAGGAAAGCCCCAAACAGCGTGACGAGAAGATTAAGAAACAACTGTACCTTCTCCATGCAGCAACGGGCCATGGAAGCGTGAAGACCCTTGTCGAAGCCCTGAAGCGTCGCCAAGCAAGCGAACATGTGCTGAGGTTAGCGAGGGATTTTTCTTGTCCGGTGTGTAAGGAGAAGGGTCGGATTCAGAGTAGGCATTTGGCGTCACTAGAGGCCTTGCCGCCCAAGTGGCACACCGTTTCAGCTGACATAGGACACTGGCAACACCCGAAAACCGGCGAGCATGTGCAATTCATGTTAGTCATCGACGAGGGGTCCAGGTTCAGAGTTGCGCGAGTGTTGAGTCGTGGATCCAAACAGCAACCTAATGCGGCGACGTGTTTGAACTACTTGAGAGAGGGATGGGCCCAGTATTTCGGAATGCCACGCACCTTGAGATTGGATCCTGCGGGGTGTTTCCGGGGAGAGGCCATGTCTGAGTTTTGTGACAAGCACGGTATCTACTTAGACATCATTCCGGCCGACGGCCATTGGCAAGTCGGGGTGTGTGAACAAGCCGTGCAAGGAGTCAAGGCGGTGATGCAGAAGTTAGCGGCTGATGATGAAGATGCAACGCCCGAAACCTTATTGGCCCAAACCATCCACACTTTCAACGCTAGGGACCATGTGAGGGGTTTCTCGCCTGTGCAACATGCGTTCGGAAGAAGCCCGGACATCACAGGAAGGATCATTGCGTCACCAAATCAGGTGCCAGACGAATTGGTTGTCGAGAGTGCGTGTGAAGACTTTGAGAAATCGGCTAGATTGAGAGCCGAAGCAGAGAAGGCACACGTGCAGTGGCATGCCGAACAGCGGATTAGCAGGGCCCTGAATTCCAGAGCCAAGCCAGTTTTCGACTATCGTCCGGGAGACTTGATTTACTTCTGGCGCAGCCAGGAGTCCGGGCAAGGACGAAAGAAGCCAGGATCAAAACATGGTCGCTACTTGGGCCCAGCACGTGTGTTGGCAACCGAGACCCGTCGCGAGAGTGACGGTACCTTGAGACCAGGAAGTGCAGTGTGGTGCGTCAGAGGCCGATCCTTGATTAGATGCTGCCCCGAACAATTGAGGCACGCTTCTGGACTTTCACCAAGGTCGCTGAGGAGATAGGCGGCAACTCCTACGAGGATGTGTCCATGGACAAGCCGAGTGAGGCTGAGTGGCATCGAGCTCAGGATGTCACACATGAGACACCACCAACACGATACCGCTTCCGAGGGAAGCGAGCCGCGGCCGAACCTACCGAGGAGTGGGACACTATGCCAGAAGAAGAGCAAGGAACCTCTCAAGCTTCTCGGCCCCAGAGGGCTCGACCACGTCCTCAGGCGCACTCAACCAACCACTTGAATAGCGGCGAGGTTTGGACACAACGTGTGCCCGAATCAGCTTGGTCAGCCCAGGTAGTGGATTACTGGCAACAACAAGAGGCCGCGGTCGAAGTGAGTCTTCCTCTTCCGGAAAGCAGCCGTGGATGGGCAAAAGCAACAGCCAATCTGCAGAGTTACTTTGTGGGAGCGCTCAAAAGGCGGACGGTGGAGGTTTCTGAGAAACGACTGAATCCGCAGGAACTACAGCAGTTCAGAGAGGCCAAAGCAATTGAGGTGAAGAATTTCCTGGCAGCAGAGGCATTCCAGACTTTGCCCCCACATTTAAGACCACATCACAGTCAGGCAATCAACATGCGATGGATCTTAACCTGGAAGCAGAAAGAAGACGGCAGCAAGCGCGCAAAGGCAAGGGCAGTCCTGCTAGGCTACCAAGACCCTGCTTACGAACACCGGCCGACTACATCGCCGGTTATGTCGAGGCAGTCAAGACAAATGCTGTTACAAGCAGCGGCCAACCACTGCTGGACGGTGCACAAGGGGGATGTCAGTGGGGCATTTTTGCAGGGAAGGCCATATCCAGATGTATACCTTGCGATGAAATATGCCAGGCCATGAACATCCCCGCTGGTACAGTGACAAAGCTTAAACGAGCATGCTACGGCTTGGTGGACGCGCCACTGGAGTGGTATCGGACCATTCATGAATTTCTGTTGAGCCTAGGGTTGGAAAGATTGTGGAGTGATCCGTGTGTTTGGGCATGGAGACAGAATGGAGTTCTGCGAGGCCTCATATCGGGCCACGTAGACGATTTCTTGTTTGCAGGCAGCTCAGACGACGCCGGCTGGCAGCGCATTGTCTCAGAAATCCAAGCTCGATTCAAATGGGGCGATTGGGATACAGGGAAGTTCACTCAATGTGGCGTCCAGGTTGAACAAACTGATACTGGGTTTACTTTGTCCCAAAGCAGCTACTTGGAAAATACCCCCGAGATCAACCTCAATAGCTCAAGACGCAAGGACAGGAGTGCTCCTGTGACCGATTGGGAGCGCACTCAGTTATGTGGAGTGTTGGGAGCCATAAGCTGGCATGCTCAGCAGGTGGCTCCCCAGTACTCAGCTGAGGTGAGCCTCTTACTTTCCGAGGTGAACAAGGGAAGTGTCGACACAATCATCCGAACCAATCAGCTACTTGCTAACGCCAAGGCCCAGAAGCACCACAGCCTGAAGATCCACAGGTTTCCTCCCGGCCAGGAGCTAGGCATGTTTGCCTGGGTGGACGCCGGGAGCCAGAACAGGCCAGACGGAGGCTCGACACAGGGCATTGTCATCGGCTTAGCGCCGGTGGGACTGCTGCGGGGCGACGTGTGTCCCATCAGCTTGATGGCCTGGCACTCTAATCGAATAGACCGGACATGCAGGAGTCCAGGGGCAGCAGAGACGCAAGCGGCTGTCTCTGGGGAAGATCTCTTGTACTACGCTCGATATGAATGGAGTGAAATTATGTATGGGGTAGCAGACGCTGAGGCACCAGACGAAGCAGTGACGAAGGTGACAGGAACAGTCATTTCTGATTCTCGCAATGTGTTTGACAAATTGCAGACTGAGGTGGTCAGCATTAAGGGCGCAGAGCGCAAGGCTGACATCGAGCTTCTCAGCCTCAAGGAGGCTCAAGCTCGTACTAAGGTGCAGGTACGTTGGGTCCACTCCGAGGCCCAGCTTGCCAACTCCCTCACGAAATGTGGAGGAAGTAAAGAGATCGAGCTCTTCTACAAGATGGGGAGTTCTTGGAGAATCGTCGAGGACGAGAAGATGAGATCCGCAAGGAAGAGAAAAGCAGAGGGTCTACAGCCTTTGCAACATGAAACGGCATCCGAGACAATCCTGGAGTATCAAAAAGAATTGTGTGAGGACTGAACTCATTAAAGCTTCCAGGAGTGGGGGCCATGCAAGTTTCCACTTGGCTGCTCTCGCGTGAGAATGCATGCGTTCGCAGCTACGAAGAGTCAAGAGCTTTACAGCAGGGGTGAAAACGTGTGCGCCATAGTCGTGCTCTGCTTAGCCGAGTCCGAAGGGTGCATTCCTGCAGAAGCCATCGACCTTCAGCCCGAGCCTTTCACCGTGCAAGCGCCACACGCTTGCACACCCTAAACCTTAAGCCGAAGCCTAAACCCTAAACCCTACACCCTAGACCCTAAACCCTAAACCCTAAACCTTACCTTAAACCCTGAATAACCTACCTTTGCAGGGCTCCTTATTATAATTTCTTTGTATAAGTCCTTAAAAATGTAGGTTCTTCGGGGTTACAGTACACCCTAAACCCGACACCCTACACCCTAAACCCCACACCCTAAACCCGACCCTAAACATCAGACCCAGGCCGGCATGTGGTTTTGGCCGGGGGCGCGGGCGCGGGCCATGCCCAGCGCTGCCTGGCCTTCGGCATTCACGAGGGCAAGGCGCGGATTTCGGTTTGGGGCCTTCCCAGAGACGCCACTCTCCCTTAATTACGGAATATACCTTAAATTATAGTAGGATCCCTAAGATGATTTCAGGTATATTCCTTAATGAAGGGAGAATGGAGTCTCTGCGTCGGGGATCATGGTTTGGGGCTTAGGGTTCCGGTCATGGATTTTTTTTTAAGGTTTAGAGTAGATAGGTCTTTGGGTCTTGAGTATGATTGAATTTAGGGTTTAGAGCAATTAGGATTTAGGGTTTAGGGATTAGGTTCGGGGCGACAGAGAGTCTTGGCTTCCTCTCTTGCTAAGCAACTTGGCTTCAGTTACCCAGTCCCGAGTAGTGGATATAGAAGGGGTCGAGGTAAGGTACCCTAAACCCTAAACCCTAAACCCTAAACCCTAAACCCTAAGCCCTAAACCCCTAAACCCCTAAACCCCTAAACCCTAAACCCCTAAACCCCTAAACCCCTAAACCCCTAAACCCCTAAACCCTAAACCCTAAACCCCTAAACCCCTAAACCCTAAACCCTAAAACCCTAAACCCCTAAACCGTGGAGGTAAGGTTGTTTAGACTCGGTGGGACTCCAAGAGGCTTGGGGGTTTTAGGGGTTTTAGGGGTTTAGGGGTTTAGGGTTTAGGGTTTAGGGTTTAGGGTCCTTGGTGAAATGTAGGGTTTCGGGTTGAACGCAGCGCCGGTTTAGAGCCACGCGGATTTCGGTTCAAGCTGGGGCAGAACCCTAAACGGTAAATCCCGAACCCTAAATCCCTAAACCGTAAATCCCTAATCCCTAACTCTAAACCTCCCTAAACCCCAAGCCCTAGACCCTTAGCCCTACAAATCCTAAACGCGAAATCCCTAAACCCTGAACCCTAAACGACGCATCCCCAGGAGATCATCATCCACAAGCCCTGCCAGTCTGACGACGCTGCACCCCCGTCGCAGAGCCGGTCAACCTTCAACCTTTTTTCCTTAGTTGTTGTTCTCGCTGTTGTTACTGTTAAGTTATTGTTAGTGTTATTGTTATTCTTCTTTAGCTTGTTATTATTGTTGCTATTGAGTTCGTTTGCCTCAAAAACTGTACAATTTTGGTTTTATAGTGGGTAGTCTTATCCCAAAAAGTGTAAAGTGTATCCACTCAGCTACTAAGTCTGGCTTTCAGGGATGATACGTATAACTGCATACCCATAGGCTCCATAGTGGCCCGGTTCTTTTTGGGATTACCTTAAATTTTGTGGATTCTAAACGGGTTTCGGGTTTGAGTTTAGGGCTGAGAGTTTAGGGTTTAGGGTTAAGGGATGATACAATGATATGTATAACTTCCATCAAAACTGGAGATGTAAGCTGTCTTGGCCTGTGCTCCACAGCTAAGGCGCAGCTCATCCCGGCTCGTACCATCAACCTCATGTACTCCAACCTGCACACTTCAAACAAAGCCGGGACCTCAGAACCCCAGACCCCACCAGACCCCAAACCCCGAACACCAAACCCTAAATCCTTGAATCCCAAGTTCTAAGCGCCATAATATCAATCTAGACCCTGAAAACCTGATGCCTTAGAAGCTGCCCCTACCCTGTAATAGTGGTATAGTAGGAATATAATAGGGCCCTAAGATGATCCTATATAACCCTTATAGTCACTATTACAGGGTGGGGGCAGCTTCTAACTGATGCCTCTGCCAGCCTGCGCACTTCAAGCAAGATGGGAGCTGAGAATCTGTACCCTTGGAGCTCAAACCCTGACGGTTTAGGGTTTAGGGTTTAGGTATGCAGCTTAAACTACAGAAGGAGCCTTACTATGATTTAATGTGGATTTTCCTCAACCAAGGGGCAAACTCCATGTCCCAGACCATCTAAAACCCTCCAAAACCTCATCCGGCCCACACAGCCAACAAAGCTCCTCTAAAGCCATACAATCTCGAGCGCTGCGTGTTGCGATTTTGGTTGCGACGCTACAATCGTCCGTCTCCCAACACACTCAATGCCACCGTGGCTGAGAATTTAAGAGTTTGGGGTTTGGGGGTTTAATACAGGGGCCTGAAAAATTTGAATAGGGTTTTGGGGCTTTAATGATAATACGGAGTCCCCAAGTTAGTTTAGGTAATTATCAAAGCCCCTATTGCTGTCCAGGTGCGGGCTCTGGAGGGTCTGGTTTTGCTTATCCTTCTTATCCTTATTGTTCCTGCTCCTGTTATTGTTATTGTTCTTCTTGTTGTTTTCATTATTCTTCTTGTTGTTAAGCCTCTCGGCTCAGGAAAGGTCAGGCTAGTACAGTTGCCTTTTTCTTTCTTGCCATGGCATTTGTCAGCGCCTGAGCAGTCCCGGTCCCAAGTCCGGGAGGGAGTATTAGATCTACAGCTCTCTAACATCTCCCAGAGGTGAGGGTTGTCGGTATTGCGAAGCCGACAGGAGCCGTACTCAACATGAGTGCTGCGAAACAGCCTAGTGGTTCGACCAAGCATCAGCCCGTTCCTAAAGGGAAGGGTAAACGCTCTTATCAAAGGGCAGCACGTAAAGCTCTGCTTGAAGGTAGTGCGGTCTACAAGGGAAGGACGATGTCGTCAACAGAGCTCGGAGTTGCTCCGGCACATGAAAAGCCCACCAATCCCGGCAGAAGGACTCGGCCTTCAAAATTTATAGAAGATAAGAATCTCAGCTATCTATCCTGGAACGCAGGATCTCTCACAACAGCAGTTTGGGAAGAGTTACTCTCCGTACTGCAAAGTGCAGCATTTCAGGATGTGAAGCTGGTAGCAATTCAGGAAACACACTGGAGGGGCTCATGGCAATTCAGCAAGTCAGGTTGGCACGTGATCAGCTCTGGCTCCACAGGGGAGAAGGGAGCCGGGGTCCTCATAATGGTGCACTCCACGCTGTGCAAGTCACAGGATCTTCGCTACAACGAGGTTGTTCCAGGAAGAGTTCTCCAGGTCCGGGTGCCGAGCAACGGCATCTCACTGGACGTCTTCAGCTGCTATCAATACGTTTGGCGCTCTAAGGAGACAGTCGCTCAGAATAAGGAAACCCGGAAGCAGACCCTTCACGCCCTAAGTAAATCCATCCGAGCTGTTCCCAATCGCAACACTCTCCTTGTGCTAGGAGATTTTAACTCCTCGCTCAAGACCGACAACAAACACGTAGGGCCATGCACGATCCAGGCTTGCAGACTAGGGCATCGCGGATCTAAGGATCTCCAGACCCTACTATCGGAGCACCAGCTAGTCGCAACCAACACTTGGGGAGTGCATAGACCAGCCACCCACGAACAAGGCAACTCTGTTTCACAGATTGACTTCTCGTTTGTCAGGATTGCACAGTCCCAAGGCCCTGCCAGGTTTTGCCGGCCACTAAGGACCTTCCCAGTGGCATCCTGGAGGGATGGTAGTAGGCATTTCCCCCTTCTTGGTAAACTGAGGCACAGCAGGAGATACTCCGCCCAAGCCTCAAAACCCTATGACCAGCAGGCAATGGAGGACTGCTACAGACACCGTTCCCCGAAAATACAGGCATTTGCCAGGGAGGTAGACTCCCTCCTTCAGGATCATCCCCAAACCTGGCAGAGTCTCCATCAAGCAATGAACTCAGCCCTCGCGACTCACTTTCCCAAGAGAAAGGGAGCAGCACAAAGAACAGATCTCAGCATTTGGGCAGAGCGCACAGTGTTGCGCTCACTCCCAATGTCAGTCAAGGTCTTAGCAGAGTTCTTGCCGGAGTTGCAGGTCCGAATGGTATTTCGCTGCTGGCTGTCGCTGTCTCAGCAAAGTGCACAGGCGAGGGTAGCAAAGCGTCAGAAGCAGGAAAGGCGACGACAGGAAATAGATGAACAACTTGAGCAGGCAGAGCTTAAATCCAAGCAAGACGGGAGTCATTCCCTCTACAAGGTGATCAAGCGCTTCCGGTCGGGGAGGCCTCAGGAAAGAGTTCAGCTACGTGACTCAGAGGGTCGCTTCCTAACAGCCAAGGAAGAACGTAGACAATTAGAGGAATACTCCATTGAACTGTTTGGAGCAGGGGACGACTTCCCGCTCACAGGGATACAAGGCAGCCTGCACATCACCGAGCAAGAAGTTCAAGAACAGCTAGGCACTATAAAGCTTGGCAAAGCAGTTCCTAAAGAAAGTCCTCCCATAGTAGCTTGGCGCTCCCTAGGCCCCAACGCTATTCGGCTTATCTCGGACACTCTCAATAGGGAGGTCACTGCAGGAAGGCTTTCGGACAGCGTCACCTCGTCACAGATCTCTTGGCTCCCAAAGCCCCCCAAGAAGCCAGATAAGCCAACATCACTCCGTCCGATCGGGGTGATAGCACCTGAGGGCAAGGTCCTGGCAGGACTTGTGAGGCAGAGACTCAAGTCCACCCTCCATCAAGCAATGCAAGGAGTCTCTCAGTTTGGCTTCGTACCAGGTAGGGGCACAGAGGAGGCGATCTGTAAGGCCCTCACACATGTGGATCAGGCCAGGT